TATAAAAACATATATGTATCCTCTTGCATAGGTACTAGTCGCTGAAAAGCGATGACAGTTTTGTTTTGTCGAATAATTTAGTCGTCACCCTCTAGCCATTAGTATATAGGAAGAAAATATGCACATATTTCTACCTACAATCAATCTTACACACTATTTTCAAAAGTGTTGAGCTCCTAGCAACTTAAGATCGACAAAATTTGGCCAACATTCAGATCCAGAGATTAGAATATACTTTTCAGAAAGTTTTTTTGTGTGCCGAAACCGAATCTGAGTTCCAAATTCCCAAGTTAACTCTGGTTTCTAAGATACATTAACCTAAAAGTGCAAAATAGCGGTTTTTGGCCATTTTTGGGGTTATGTAGTATCGAAATATAATTTTCTCACAGAAACTGTTATAACCATATTAAAGTATGTCCCAATATTTTAATTGCGTGTGCGTTATCAACATCTTCGATCTGAATTTCCTAATTTATCTGCAGATAAAGTTGAAGAAGGCGTTTTTGTAGGTCCTAACATTAAGAAGCTAATGAAAGATGCCAATTTTGAGAAAACACAGAAAACGAAGCACGGGTTAGTTTTAAACAAGTTGTCCACAAGAAATCATCAAGATGCAGAATACAAAATAATCGTGCTAAATTAATGCTAAAATTTTTTCAAAAACTATGCTGCTTGATGAGATTGAAATTCAATTTTCTGTTTTCTCATTTAAATTATTTCCCAGAACATAGTTTGCAGCAACTACAGAACGGTAACACTAATAATATCCCATGCAAGAAAGGTTCTACTTCATGTAACACATGAAGACTAGTACAGAACAGACAAGCGGGATTTATCCCAGGAAAAGGCACAAGAGAACACATCCTTAATGTCAGACAGCTAATCGAAAAAAACTCGTTAATTCAATACTCCTATGCTTATGTGCTTTGTGGATTACACAAAGGCCTTCGATAAAGTCCAATAGCAGCAGCTATGGTCCATGCTAGCGGAAATGGGAACACCCCACCACTTAATTCAACTAATTAGAAGTCTATATGAAAATAATAAGTTCACAGTAAAAATAAACAACACCCATTCCGATCATTTCAGAACAGAGGCAGGTGTCAGGCAGGGATGTATAATCTCGCCAACTCTGTTGGATAGGAGAAAAGCAAAACATATAGACTAAACCTATATGGAGTAAGACAAAGATCATGATAGTAGACAAAGCTCGGAATAATCTTAAACACATTAAAGAAATTGGGCCTCATATACCTGGGTCCCTAATAACAAATGACGGAGGGTGTTGTTATGTATGGTTTTCATGTACGCATATACTTGGCAACGTTGCACTTGGTAAACCGAACCACAAGTGACAGCGGTGACATGACAACCAGACATGACAATACACTTAGGTTATGGACTACATGTGAACAGGAATAATGTTAATTTATAAATCCTGATAAAGCTTAATAAATTAATAAAACCTATCGTAAGTAGCTTTATGTTATGTCCAACAGTCCTAAAGAGGTATACATTTTAGTTGTGACAGAGAGATGCGTAGATGGTTTGACTATTGCTAGAACAGCTATGATGAAACTGGTAACAATTTGGAAAAATTCTAGCATACAATACACAAAACTAGGCTGTAAGGGCCTATTTTTCCATAGCCACCTATGCATCCGAAACGTGGACCTTAAAGAAAGCGGATGAAAATAAACTAGACGCTTTTGAAATGTGGTATACAGCCGCAAAGTAAAGGATAGATTGCTTAAACAAATACAACAGAGATATTTGCCGTATTTTGGACAGATTGCTAGAAGAACAGGCACGATGGAAAAACTGATAGTCGAGGGTAGAGTTGAAGGAAAGAGACCTAGGGAAAGATCTCCAAGCCGTTGGTTAGATCAAACAAAAATATTGATTAACCAAGGGTTATATGAAGCCGAACAACTAGCCCAGGAAGAGAAGGATGGAGGGAAATCGTGAAAAAACTGTAAAGGCCTGATGGTGTCACCACATCCCAAAAGGGATTAGGACTGAGAAGGAGGATCTCAGAAACTAGAGCCAATTCGGCAATTTGGAGCTCAGATCCGTATTCATCTGCACAAAAACCCTTCAGAAAAGTCTCGTTTTCTGAAGCCTCAGGCTTGTCGGATTGGTGACATTTTCTCACACAAAATTTTCCTGTTTTCTTTGTCTGTAGTGGTCAAATATAAACTTTACTTCGTTAACTGCCGAGTTTACGGAGCTTTGTGAACCCGAACATAAACTTGATACACTGAAAAATTTGATGTATTAAGCATGGTATAAAAATCGGTGTATATTTCACAAAATAATTGGGTATTTAATAACATTTTGTTACAGTGAACAATTTGAAGCACTTTTTTTATAGTCAAGTTACACTTTAGGGCTAAGATTTTGCTTTTGCATAATTTTTTATATTCGTTAATAAAGAAATTGTTCGGTTTTTATCTATTTACACTGCTCAAATTAAAGATTATTTTATTCTACTTTTCATTTTATTTGTATTGTTCATCATCATCTAGCCTCAAGAGTCCACTGCTGAACATAGGCCTTTCTCATGTTTCCAACCCTGTATATCTTGCGCAGCTCTTATCCAGTTTTTATTGAGTCTTCTTAAATCGTCAATCCATTTTGTAGGTGGTCGACCGACGCTTCTCTTGACTTCCCTTGGCCTCCATTCCAATAACCCCTTTGTCCATCGCCCATCTGTCATTCTGGCTATGTGTCCTGCCCATCTCCATTTAGTGTGGCTATCTCCTCGATGATGTCAGTCACTCCTGTTCTTCTCCTGATGTCTTCGTTGGTTATTCTGTCTCGCAGAGTTATTCCTAACATGGACCGCTCCATTCTCCAGTCCTGATCAAATACCTTTCTCTTTAGGCATGTGGGCAGCTCACTTTTAAAAGTTTCTCTCAGTTTTCCAAATGCTGCCCACCCAAGGCCGATTCTTCTCTTCATTTCATTAGTCTGGTTATCCCTGCCAATCATAATTTCATGTCCTAGGTATCTACGAGTTCTATTTCTTTCCCACCAATACTGATGTTCTGGTTGGGTACCAAATTGGTCATGATTTTTGTTTTCGAGATATTTATATTTAAACCTACATTTTCTGTAGCCACAACGAATTCCTGTACCATCTACTCTTGCCATACCTAGATCTTCAGCTATTATAAGTATATTCACGGCGAAACGTAAGTTGTTTAGATATTCTCCATCTATTTTTATTCCCTTTGTCATCCAATCCAAATTCTTAAAAGCATGTTTTAGCACCGATTAAAAAGTTTAGGTGACATTGGGTCTCCCTTGTCTATCCCCCGTTCTATTTTTATGCGATTACTGTTAGTATGTAATCTGACAGTGGTTGTTGCCTGCAGGTATATTTTGCATAATAATTTAGTATATCTATAATCTAGCCTGCTTTCTTTTTAAGCGCCTGTAATATTTTGCTTAGCTCAACTGTGGCTTTGTGAAAATCGATAAATATTAGAACTAGAGGTTTATTGTATTCCACTGCTTTCTCTATTAGTTTATTACTTTGTAGATGGTCATTTGTTCCGCAACTTTTCGGAATCCTGCCTGTTCCCTTTGTTGATAAGACTCTAATTTTCTTTCCATTCTCTTAACTAGTATTCGCGTAAACAATATATGGCTGAGGAGGCTAATCGGTCTGTAATTCTCTAAATTTGCTTTGTCTCCTGCTTTGTGTAATAGAATTTGCTATTTGCATTGTTAAATTAATACAAATAAAAAAATGAGATGAATCGTATCTTCAATCAAATTGAGCAGTGTATAATTAATTTGCTTATTATTTTAGTTTTCTAGTTAGAAGATTGAACTAAATAATCTTGAATATACCTAAGATGTGTCTATAATTGGTTAGAAAATGACTTAAATTACTGAAAAATCTACAGGGTGATTAAAAAAATACTGTTTAATTGATTTGAAGATTTTCTAATGAAAAGTTGCTGCTGCCAAGACAACGATTTTGCTCAGATATCAATAAAAAGTATTAAACCTTCAGTTATTAATAAAAAAACTTGTATTAGTGGCAATAGGATCTTAATAGTGTTTTTTACGAGTCACCCTGTAAAAGTATTGAACAAATAGTGAAATGTCAAGAATGTTTCGACTGCTTAGAAGATTTTTTTATAAAAATAGATTTTTTGAAACAATCTTACGTTATTGCTGACGAGAACATTGTATTGTAAGGCCTTTAAATATGGAATAATTGGTGTATCATCTTTTAACAAGTGGAACAGTCGTCGATTTTTGACATTTCTTTCATATAAAAACCGACCAGTTTGCTTTGTCTTTAAATTTTTAAAAACAGTGGCTTTTAAGTGACTTTTAATTAATTAATGTTTAATTTAGACCTAATTTGAGAATGATTTAAAAAATTCCTAGACGTCTTTAACGAACAGTACTTTTGTTCGCTTCCTTTTCTTCATACGGCCCTTTCTCCATTAGTAATGTGAGTCCATTAAGTCTTTATTTTTCCACCAATCCGCGTTCATATTTCCTTTCAGAGTATTTATTTATTTATGGAAGTAGCTGGTTAAAGATTGTCTTCCGCAATTGGCAGCTGTGATAAATGGTCAAAGTAAGATATTCCAAGCCTGTTTGTTACAGCAATTACCACTTATGCTAATGTGCCGATGCGCAGGTTTTAAAATCATCCATTTTAGCAGCATTTGATAAGAAAAAAATGTGACAGAGAAACTGATGATCACAAGTCGCTATGAAGAGCAGATTACTCATAACTATTACTTAGTTCATCTTTACCGCAATTGTGGGAATAATTCAGTTGTTTTGTTCTCCCATTGCGTAGAAATGCCAATTATGGTGATATTTTGGCGCGCTTTTTTTCAAAATCATCCGGTTTAAAGCCATTTGTTAAGAAAACCGTTTTAAGAAATCTGGTGGTCGCAAATTTGTTTGAATGGCAGATAACCCACAGCACTGAGAATTCCGAATCATGGTGTGCCCCTTGAAACCACTTTAAAAAAGTTTCCCACACACATTTCACCAAAAGTACTGAGTAGACATTTCGGGTTGATTCTAATTCCTGTTTTGCTGCTATTTTGTAGATCGTTTTCTATTTTTTGTTCTGCGATATTGAACGAATTATCCTCATGCTTTTATTACTCTGTTACAATTTTTCATTCATCTTTCCATATTTTTTTATTTGAAGGTTAATTCCTTGTATTGTTCGTCTTCTTTTAGTACTTTTAATTCTAGTCTCGAAGATTTCCCTTATTTAAAGTAACGATAGTGGTCTCATGAAGCAAACAATCCTTTTTGATACGAATAAAAATTTGGATTCGACTTTTCAAGATTCTTTTAAATCATTTTGCGAAATATTTTAGCTAATCTATGTTAACGTAAAACTTACTTAAATGCCACTGTTCTCGATTATTCTGTTATAAATATCAACGTTTTTAAATTTTAATAGTTTTAGCATTACGACACACTTTCAGTCCCTAAATTACTTCCATGCGTCAAATTCGAGTCCAGACTGTTGCAGTCCGAATCGTTAGAGTGGGGACTAGAATAATTGGCGGCTTCCTGCAGCCTCATCAGCATGTTGAGAAGGGGATCTCCTTCGTTTTCGGATTGCGCCGAAGGTCCGACTTCGAGCCCTACGTCTTTGGCGGAAATTGTGGTGAGCCCTTGCGGCGGCGAACCTGGCCACGGGTACGTCTCGAGGACGAATTGCGTGGGGTCAGTCCAGGGCGCGCGACGACCGTACAGCTGAAGACCTTCTCGAGCGGCTTCCCGAAGATATGGAGCTAGGGAGTAGTTCCATACGTCGGCGAACCAAGCCCGTGCTGCATCTAGCTCTAGGGGACAACCTATAAAAAAAGAAATTCGTAAATTTAGAGTACACTCAATATTGAGTTAGCCGCGGTTCTACAACGACCTGTATGGTCGATGCATGAAGAGATGGAGACAAACAGATAAATGAAAAGAAACTCTTCTCTCTCGAGGAAACAGTAAAGGAAAACAGGATTGAAAAACAACCTAAGAAATAATAGATAAGAAGCGGGGGGCACGTAGGAAAAAGGGTGGAAATGAAAGAATAATGTGACAGTGATATAAAACTACGTGGAAAAGTGTTCCTCTCTCTCCATTATGGTGGGTGAACGAGAAGGAGGAGATTGACACAATGAAGACAAAAAAGAATTGGAGGATAGAAAAGTGATCAAATTACTCATTGAAATATAACCGAAAAAAAGAAACAGATAGTACTTTTTTTAACGATTTTGCTCTTTGTATCGCTGTATTGCTATATATAAATACGTCATAGTGAATTGGGCAAAGAAATTCTACGCAAATAAAAGTATTTTAAATGTTTCACTTACTTAAAAACAATCTAGGACCAATTGCTACATCTCCGCTGCTATGGGTCTCCAAAAACGCATTCAGATGTTGCCAGATTCTCGGCAACCAACCTAATATAGCAGCTAATTCCGGTTGCGGTCCTTGTTCCAGCTCCAAAGTGGCCAACCGTCTTCTTAGAACTCTTCCTAGTAGTCCCCTAGCTGGTTCCATGTGAGGGGCGACCAAGACCCATCTGAAGCCGTGTTGAAGTTGTAAACTGGTCGCTGAGCAAGCGCTTTGAGCCATAGTTCCTAGGAGGCACGGCAGATTGCGAGGTAAGGAACCTAGTGCGTCGGCGAGTGTTCCCGCTTTGTGGAGGTTGTCTAATACTACTACACATGGAAGGACGCTGTTATCACCTGCTGCAGCTTGTTCGCTGAGATGAGTAAGGTATTGGCGAAGTTCTTTTCCGGATTTATTGTCTACACTGAAGTTAAAACAGTACATTAAACATATTATAATATCGAATAATTGTGAAGACTTACTTAAATGTTGCAACAGCTTCTGCGGGATCTCTACCCAGGCTTTGGGCATGGAATTCAGCTAATCTAGTAGCTAAATGTGTCTTACCAGTTCCCGGGGCTCCACATAAAACTAGCCTCCTATGTTCAGCTAATAGTGAAACTAATCTTTGGGCTACTCCTTTCGGAATTAAGGCTTCAAAGGCTAAGGCTGCTACTGGTTGTAGGACTACGTGCAACGTTGCCACTCTTCCTATCGCGTAACCAACAGGAAGCAGATCAGGTGGACCGGAATCGGGCTTGCGTTCAGCTTCGCCTAATTTGTAGCTAGCTATGGCGTCACTACCAATCCCAGCCCGCCTCCAGGATCCAACCTGGCGACGTATTGTTTAAACGCTCTTCTAACTGCGTTATCTAGTTGTGCCCATGACGTGGAAGCGCCTATATTGGTGTGTGCTATCGATATTTCTGTGTTTGCGTTATCACTTAAGCCGTCGTACCCGTAGTGGTCAGCATAATATCTGAAATAAGAACTGCATTATGGAAGAATCATATAAGATCATCATGATGAAGATAAGATGGACAACTACCATTGAATTTCCAATTATGTTTTATTCCTATGTTGAGTGTTTTGTACACGAATTCAAATTTGTTTTATTTAGCCTATTAAAATTTATATGAACGACAAATAAAACCGTATACGTGCTAAGTTCTACTTACTTTTCAAAACTCTGTGGTTGTCCTAAATAGACCGATATCGTGATTCGTTTGCCGTCAGTTTCCACTTCTTGCGTCGGTTCTTCGGTAGGTATGAGGTCACTTAAGGCGTCTATGCTACTGCTGCTTCTAGTATCTGTCAAATCGGTAGGCAGATTCGTCGTGCCGCTTACCATTCTCTGCAGACGTTCGTTATTTTGCTTCAAGCTTAACATTTCACTCTAAAATGGAAATTACGTAAGATATAATCAAACCGTACTGGAAATAGAGCATAAAAGGGATATTTGGATTAAATATGTGGAAAAAACTTTTGAAGATGTACGAAGTAACACTGGTATCACAACAAACACCAATTGCGAATCTGGACCACCATTTACAGTCGAAGAAGTAAAATATGCCATCAAAAGCACCAAAGATGGTAAAGCAGTAGACCCTGATAATTTTCACTCAGAATTCTTAAAACTTATGGACTATGATGGCATAAAATGGTTGACAAATATATTTAACAATATATATGATACAGGCATAATTCCCCAAAAATGGTTAGTGTCAACTTTTATAAATCTTCCAAAAAAAACCCAATGCGAGAAAGTGCGAAGACTATAGAATTATAAGCCTTATGAGCCATTTACTTATTTATTTATTTAGCGTATGGACTTTCACAGTACGATAAATATACAAATACAATTACAATAATATACACATATATATTATATATATTATTCAAAACACTAAAAATAGTAAAAATTGAATGAATAGAATGAATGACACTAAATATTAATGTCCAATTTACATAGCCATTCAATTGCTTCTGGGGAACATTCCGCAAAGTCCTGGAGGTTTCCACGGTAGGCACGATTCAAGCAGTCTGAAACACAATGGCTTATGGTCTGTCTAGATTCTCCGCAATCGCACTGTGGACTTTCTGCACGACCCCACCTGAACAGCGAATCAGCACATTTACCATGTCCGGTACGTATACGATTAAGCCTTGCCCAAATGGACCGGGGCAGATTTGATCCGATGAAACCCTGAGTTGGGGTGGATATCTTAATATAGTCCGATTCTACTGTTGGCATCCATCTTGTTGTCCATTGCCTGTATATGTACATATATCATAGGAATTACCAATTTTTCGGGCAGATCGTATTGGAGGGTTTCTAGATCTCAATCGTTGGTGCTCTTTTGAGATGTCTGGGATATCTTGATGTATTGGTAATTGTACGTTGGCTACAATTTTCTGGTACTCTCTCACTAATGCTGCTGTACGGCGTAGATCTGGTGGAACAATATTGCTCAGAGTAGGCAGCCATCTCACTGGCGTTGATTTTATTGTTCCAGTGATTATTCTCATGGTTTGGTTAAGTTGGACATCGATTTTGCTTGTATGTGCACTATTTAGCCATACTGGTGCACAATATTCTGCCACTGAGAAAACCAAAGCTAGAACTGAGGTCCGAAGAGTATCTGCAGAAGCACCCCAAGTTGTTCCAGCAAGTTTTGATATTAAGTTATTTCGTGTTCTTAGTTTACCGGCTGCGTTTGTAAGATGACTTTTGAAGGTGAGTGTTCTATCAAGTGTAACGCCTAGATATTTGGGGTTGTTATGTTTGATAGCTGTGTCATTTAGAGTTACATTGAGAGTATCGCCCGCAAGTTGATTCGACAGGTGAAAGAGACAGGTTTCAGTTTTGCTTGTGTTAGGACGTAAACGCCAGTTCTTAAAATAGTTACTTAGTGTAGATAAGTCCTCGTTTAGAGCTCGTTCTCCTGCTTCTTTACTATTATCTTGGAAGACAATGGCCAGGTCGTCAGCATAAGCAAATTTTCTCGATTTTGTTTCAGGTATATCTGCTATATAAAGGTTAAAAAATAAAGGAGCTAGCACTGAGCCTTGAGGTAAGCCGTTGTTAAGTTTTCTAACGTTACTCTGTGCATCATTCATATATACCTGAAACAGTCTGTTAGTCAGTAGATTGTTTATCAGCTGACAAGTTTTGAGGCAAGGTATGATTTTCATCAGCTTATAAATAAGGCCCTCTCTCCACACCGTGTCATAGGCAGCCGTGAGATCTATAAATGTTATGGCAGATTTTTCGCGTCTTTCAAAGCCAGCTTCAATAAATGTAGTTAAGGACAGCACTTGGTCACAGTAACTTCGTCCTCTTCTAAATCCAGCTTGTTCAATTGGTACAGCATCCTCAATGGTGTTACATATTCGGTTATATAAAAGTCGTTCTAGTAATTTATAACAGCAACTGAGTAAGGCAATAGGCCGGTAACTTTCAGGCAGCTTGTTGTCTTTGCCAGGCTTCTGGATTGCGATAATTTTTGTTCTTTTGAATTCTGGGGGTAGCATAGTTGTATTCACAATGTCGCTAAAGAATTGTTTGAGCCACTGTCGTGTTTTTGTACCAGTGTGGACTATAAACTCAGGATACATTCCATTGAAGCCTGCTGCTTTTCCTGTTTTAGTTTGGTTAAGCGCTTCGTTTATTTCATCCAATGAGAAGGCACTAAATGAGCTATTTACTTAAAACATTTCTAAAGGTCATTCACAAAAGAATATGTACAAAATGTGAGGAACAACTAACAAGAACACAATTCGATTTCGTGATGCTCTGGGAACACGGGAGGCACTTTTTGCTGTACAGGTGCTATTTCAGAGATGCAGGGATGTGAATTGTGACATATACGTATGCTGTATAGATTACCAGAAGGCATTTGACAGAGTAAAACATGACAAATTAATGACTCTAATGCAACAAATTGGAATTGACAACAAAGATCTTAGAATTATCAGAAACATTTACTAAAATCAAACGGCCAAAATCAAAATAGAAGACCAGTTAACTGATAAAATTGCAATAGAACGTGGAGGACAGGGCTGTATTTTGTCTCCATTGTTGTTCAATATTTATTCTGAATGGGTATTTAAGTAAGCTTTAAACGGTTGTGCGAAAGGAATACTGATAAACGGTGAATGGTTGAATAACATTAGATATGCAGATGCCGCTATAGTTTTTGCTGATAATCTGAATGACTTACAGATATTAACAAATCGCAAACAGATACGGACTAGCTCTTAACATAAAGAAAACCAAATTTATGACAATTAGTAAAAAACCAATACTAAACGCTCAACTTACAATCAACCAACAGAATATCGAAAGAGTCGAGCAATATACATATCTAGGCACCAATTTAAACAGCCAATGGGACCACTCAACAGAAATTAAACAGCGAATAATAAAACCAAAAGCAGCATTCGTTAGAATTAGCCATTTTCAACAGTCGAGACATATCATTAAAAACAAAATGTCGTCTATTGAACTGCCACATATTTACAGTTCTGCTCTACGGAATGGAAGCGTGGACACTGACTGTTGCATCTATGAATCGGCTCGAAGCTTTCGAAATGTGGTGTTATGTATATGTTATTGTTATGTATATCCTGGGTTGACAGAGTTACTAATGTGGAGGTCCTGCGTAGAATGGGGAAAGAATGTGAAATTCTCATGACCGTCAAAACTAAAAAGTTGGAATATCTAGGGCATGTAATGAGAAATCAAGAACGTTACGGCCTTCTCCAGCTGATTCTCCAAGGGAAGGTAAATGGTAAGAGAGGACCGGGAAGAAGACGCATTTCCTGGCTTCAAAATTTACGAAAGTGGTAGGTATAACACGACTACCACTGAACTGTTCCGCGCTGCAGTAAACAAAGTAAAGATAGCCGTGATTATCGCCAAAAGCCGGAACGGATAGGCCCTTTAAGAAGAAGAAGAAGATAATCAAACCCAACAATTTACCAAAAAGTTATCTATAATATTTAAACTGGCTAATTGGTCTTTACCAAAGCCATCTAATTAAGTAAAAAAAATAATATAATTAAGTAAAAAAAATAATATTTAAAATGGGTATTTTAAATGGATTACAGACAACACTCGAGATGCCGATGATGCGGAGCACGGTTAGCATGGAGCATATTAGCAGGAAATACTGAAAGAAAATTAAGAGCTGGTATTAAAATAGTATCTTGACGAAAAACTTGAAAAACAGATGGACAAGATGGACTAAAGAAATTACTTACTGTTAATATGTGGTGGAAGACAGTTAGAGATGAGAAGCTTCTGTGAAAAGCACTAATAACTGAAGTATGACACATGAAGTATTATAAATAGCTCTACTTACGGAAGACCCTAACAGGAAAATTAGTAAAAGCGCTGGACCACTACGGCACATTTAACCCTGTTAAATGTTATAAAATGTCATATTTCTTAATGTTTCTTTAAATTTATAGTTAACAATATTACCTATTATGCACGCCTATGTTTGAAATAGGTAACAGTTAATGTCAAAAAAGAATTGTTTGGTGGCGTTTGTTTGACGTCTGGTCAGCACGTCAAATGGCACAAAATATCACAAAGCGCGACCTTAAACAACTCAAAAAATGAGCAGAATGAACAGTGTTCCCAATTGGAACAGTAGTACAAGCAACACGAGATTGATACTGGGAAGGTATAACAAATAAATAACTTACTCTCATTTTCATAACCGTATCCTTCAAACTCTCCAACTGATGGGCTGAGCTCAACGCCTCGAGTCGAATATCAGTCAAGACCAAGTCTTTCTCTCGGAGTTGCTTCTGAAGCTCGACGACCTCCAAGCCAGGATCGGTGGGCGGAGGAGGGGGCGGACTGTGAGTTCTTTCCTCGGTGGCGTCACTTTGGCATTGCACTTTGGTGACTTTAGCGTTACGTGAAAAGGCTTTCGTGAACGAACTTCGCAACCAGCCTTTCTTCTTCTTCTTGTCGTGCTTGTCTAGGCTACAGGCGGATGAGAGACTCGAGACGCTGTCGGAGGAAGGTTGTCGCGCCAAAGTGGATCCGATGCCTGCTTGGATGGATTGAGCGCGTAAAGCCTCCATGGCTTGGCGGAGTTCTTGGAGTTCTGATTCCTGTGCACAGAACGAATAGAAGTTTAATTTTAATACTGAATTTCAAACACAATATTACGTTGTGTCAACTTAATATATGGAAAATTACCTTTTTCTCGGAGGTGGCCGTTAAATGCTGAAGCCTTTGAGTCATAGAAGTGAGGCTCTGCTCAAACGCCGATACCACATGAGCCTGAAACCAAAAGACACACAAATAAATGTTTTATATTTGTACAGCAAAACTAAAGAAATAAAAAAGCATTGATATACATTTTATAGTTGTAAAAATCCACTTAACAACTACAATTGCTACATTGCTGCGTATTTAACTTGATAAAATAAATCTCCCCTTTTTGCATCATCCATCAATATGCTTTAAGACCTATCTAAATTACCATTATTAAAACCCATCCCACTAATTTTGACACAGTTACTTGATGACATATTTCTACCACAAACAATTACACCTCTACTATCCGCGTATCCTCCTGGGTCTATAGTCATTCTTCAATGTAACACATCACTTACAAAATACGATAAATTTACAACTACCAAGAACCTCATTATAAAAACTTTTAGAGAAATTATCTTTATGTCATATCTTATCCCCCTCTTTTGCAGCTTTCATACTGGCGAATTATTCAGTATACTTCAAGCTATCAAATACACCTCATCAACAAATAAGCAAGTTGCTATATGCACGGACTTCCTAGCCTCAATACAATCTATCTAAAATGTATTCACTGATCATCCTACCGTCCAAAAGATCCACGACCATTAATAACTATCATTTCTCAAAATATAATAGTTACTCTAACCCCATATGGTATAATAACAGACAATGAACTTGCAAACCATCACGCACTACTTGCCTTAACATTTGCTGATTCCGCTATTAACATACCAATTGGTAAGGACTTAAAATTTCACGTTAAAAGAAGAACAAGAACCCAATGGCAACAATACTGAAACACCAACTGCTTAGTTTTTCATCAAATACAACATTCAATAGACAGTCCTGCTATTTTTGGCACTACAAGGTAGTCCAGACGAGATCTTATCGTGGCAAGGAGGCTTCGGATTGAACATACAAAACTAACACATGGTTACCTGATGTCATACCTACTTGTCAAAGCTGCCAATCATAACTGACAGTAAATCACATACTCAACGAATACTATCAATATTCTGCCAAAAGACATCCTAAGATATCCCAAGTAATGCTGACCAAATAAACTTATAAGTATAAAAATATGTTTGTATTATAGAATATAATTTTATTGTACGATACATTTTGTTTGTCTTTCACGTACGTTCAAACTATGTTTTGTAATTGAAAATAGTGATAATCAATAAAATAAAAGTATTTTCTACTTTTATAAACTATGCGTTTATCTTTAACATCAAGATAATCTAATAAATGACAATATGTTTGAGATATTTGGACATATATGTACCTTATAAATATTTTTATCTGTTTAATAAGGTAAAAAAGTATATATTCTGTTTATTACATCTTCACACAGTCCTTTCAGTTTGAATCGTGTAGTGCTTTTTATTCCCAAGCCGTTCCTGAATAAGTTCTGACCCTTTTTTAAAATCTAATGGTTCTTAAAACAATCGAAAAAACTGAATTTTGACGTAAAATGTTCTAACAAAAAGTCTCTACATAAAGATCTTAACAATGCTCCATTAAAAACTGGTTTACAAATTTCCAAAGGTTAACCATCACCTTAATTGTATATTAACGAGCTCTGAAGAAGTGTTTTGTTACCTCGACATGTATCATTGGCACTCACCAATAATACTACCATTGTTCGACCCACACATTTTTAATCTATTTTTGTTGTTGTTTTTGATTACGCAACCCAAAAAATGTTCACAATGTTGTTATTCATAGCTAGTTTATAATTTGAGAATGTTTAATTCTTGATTAGACTTTCAGATTAACTTTGGCCGAAATATTTGTAGTCGACGGAGATTTGGTTGGTATTGAGTCCAATATAATCTGTTGTTTAATGAATGTTATATTCTAGAAATGATTTGCGTAAATCGTTTGTAGGTCAGTACTGTTTTTATGGGATAAAATCATTGCGTTAATAATTATTAGCCGTAAGTAATTACCTCGAACAGTGAACAGACAGTAATCAACGTGACAACCACTGATTATAAAGACACTCTACATCAAAAAAAGCAAAAAACTAAGTTTTGCAAGTCTGACAATATCAAAAAATGATTTCTAAATTATTCAATATTTTTGTAGTATGTGCAAAATGCTACAGAAAATAATAAATAACAGAGTCATGTGGTATCTGGAATCAAAGAAACTAATTATACCAGAACAAAGTGGCTTCCGAAAGTGTCGCTCTACTGTAGACAACATTATTGATGTAGAATCGGAAATACATGAGGCTCTTGCAATTAAACAACATTGTATTGGAATTTTTTCGACATTAGTAAAGCCTACGATTCAGTATGGAATATCTAATTTTAAAAACGCTCAAAAATTGGAAAATAAGAGGTAATATATATTATATAAATACATTATTAAAAAATAGACAATTTCAAGCCAGAGTAAACAGCATATATTCCTCAACAAAAAAACAAGAAAATGGTATACCACAGGACTCGAACCTTAGAACTACAGTGGAACCTCGATTATCCGTCTCTCTATTAACCGTCACCTCTGTTAACCGCCAGGGTCCATACATAAGTTAGATTGACAACATAAGTAAAAGTTTAGTCATCAATTCATTTTGTTTGCAAAAAATTTTCCACCAAAGACGATTCTTATTTTGGACAATGAACCTGCCCATCCTAAAGCCGGTATGCTGCGGAGTGACGATAAAAATATCACGTACTCTATTCTGCCTGCGAATACAACATCAATGATACAGCCAATGGATCAGTCGGTCATTAAAACATTCTAAAGAAGATACAGAAAAAAGTTTATTCAAAACCTAGTTATGGAAGAGCAATATTCTTTGCCAGAATACTAGAAAGCATACAATTAAAAACACGCAGTCGACAATGCTGTGTATACTTGGGCTGATGTTTCGTAATTAACGCTGAAAAAAGCGTGGAATAAATTATGGCCTGAATCAACTTAAGATGAAAAAGCTTCCCTTAAATGTAGTTATGGCTGAATCAACTGTTTTGTTTCGTTGCCCAAAGGTGACATAAACGACTGGTTGATTTGTGATGAGGACGCAAACGGCTACCGATTTGTTGACAGATGATGAAATCGGCAATGCCAACCGAGGGGGACGAAACTGATTCAGAATTTGACAGAAACTGTGATGGTGGCGATGTTGATGATGCTATTACAACTCACAAAGATTTGCGTAAATAAGCTAGAGGAGCTGCATCGCAAATACAACAATTCATCAAGTGGTATTCTCGGCAAGAAGAAGCAAATAAGGTAGATTTGATGATTGTACGTCGATTAAGAAATTCAGCCGTTGCAAAATGTGAAGTAACAATAAAACAAACACAGATTTCGGAATAATTTAAATCAAATTGATTCGAGTGTACTAACATAAATCGCTCTTATATTGTCAAATAAAACATACAAATAAAATTTGGGAGTTATACTATGAATTTTTTTAACGTTCTGTTAATCGTCTTTTCGATTATCCGTCATACCCTTGGTCCGGTGCCCTGACGGATAATCGAGGTTCCACTGTATTCTATTTTAGCTATAAATTATATTACCGCAAAAATTAAACATCCTGTAAAAGCCAGGCTATATGCAGATTATTTAGTTATACTTTGTAGAGGAAAGAACCTAACAACCATCCATAACCATGTCCAAAAAGCCATTGAAGAATAGTCATTCACAAATGGTCTTCAGTTCAATATCCTCAAAACCAAAGCAGTATGTGTTACGAAAAGTCACCAAATACAACCGAAGAACTATATTTAAATGGAAGACAGCTTAATATGTAGATGAAGTTAGATTCCGTGGTATGATCTTTGACCAAAAACTAACTTAGAAGATACATTTAAAATATTTAAAAGACATGTCAGCCTGGAATAAATTTGTTACGATCACTCGCAAACAAAAAATGGAGCGCCGACTCTTCTACATTACTACATATCTACAAGGCCCTAGTACGTTCCAAACTGGACTATGGCTCAATTGTTTACAACTCCTCCAAAAAAACGTAATTAAAAACAATAGGTGTTACAGATACAATACAGATCTTTGAATTTCCTTAGGAGCACACCACACAAGTCCAATACAAACCGAATACTGGGAAACTGAAGAGATTCCACTCGCGTTTAGAAGACAATATTCAAGTCTTTCTTATGCCGCGGCAGTATCGTCTAATCAAGATAATCCAGCTCGTCTGATACTCGCCAGTAATATTTTCTCCTAATGGTTGAAACATAATAGTTAAATTCCACGGTAGTTTTTACACTGGACTTAGTCTCCTTTTTTATAGATCGGGCATAGTATACTTTTCTTCCAGTCGTCGGGTATTTTCTCTTCTTGCCATATGTCTTTGATGGGCGCGTGGATGTGACTTGCTAGGTGGTCGCCCGCTACCTTATACAATTCTGCTGGTATTTTGTCAACTCCTAGGGCTTTATTGTTTTTCTGGGCCCTAATAGGTTCGAGAACTTCCTCTATGGTTTGAGCTTCTACTCCATTCTCTACTTCATTCTCTTCTACTTAGTTCGTACCTATTTCATCTTCCATGTCTATTTGTGTACCAAGTAGGGTCTGAAAATAATACTTCCAGGTTTCAGCGACCTCCTTTGGTCACTGATTATTTTCCCACTTTCATCTTTACATAGACTTGTTTGAGGTTTATACCCACTTTTTATCTTTTTTAAGTATTCGTAAGCCAATCTGATTTCGTTATTTTTGAAATTTTCTTCCATTTTTCTATTTTTCCATTTACATAGGCTCGTTTTGATTTTTACATATCTTGTCTGCTTTCCGTCTTGCGACTTCAAATGATGTTCGTCTTTCCCGTGCTCTTCTTGTTATATACATTTTGTGTGCTTCATTCCTTTCCTCTATTGCTTGTCTGCACTCGTCAACGAACTATGCTCCCGTTCTCGCCTTTTTCTTATTTCCCAGGATGGACGCTGCCGCTGTCAGTACTGCTGTTTTAATATTATTCCTTTTGCCCTCTATGGAGTGCAGTTCTAGCGTCCTTAACTCATTTGCAACTTCTTCTT